TGGCTGCCGCCCAATGATAGGGGTTCATTTAACAACGTGCATGGTAATGAAAGTCTGTTCTTTCCTATTTGTGATGCCTGTGCCAGTTAGCTCCCAGGAGACAGCTGCTGTGAAATGTCCAAAGTGTCTCTGGATCCACGGAGTCAGTGGGGACACTGCACCTTTGTGCAGACGTGGTGCATTGTATGCAGTGACCATAATCTCTTCGTAATTCCAACAGGAGAAGTGTCATACTTGGTTATGCAGAGGGTTTGTTGCTTTTGAGGAAGCATCTTGCCCTGTGGGTGTTTGCGTGTTCGTCTTTTACTTTCTGCAGAACAGAGCCTGGCCTTGGGATGTAATGCAAATAACCCTGGCAACTCCTCGTTGGGTTTCTGTCAAAGCTTCTAAAAGGCTTTAGGTAATTTCAAGATGATTCTAATGCAGCTTAAAGTTCTAATCCATGCTTTGAAGTAGAGCAAATTCAAAAGGCTTCTTGTGCATGGCCATAGATTAAGCGTTTTTTTGTACTTCAAAAAAATATTATATTGAATATTCAGATTGATTGAATTACTCACAGTGATGGAAAACAGAGCCCTTTGGTTATCCAGAAGCAGAGTGCAGCAGTTCATAATTATGGATTGAACAACCTGGCATGGAAAGGTGGAAATAATACTAACATTCCACAGGCATAATCACAGCCTGATTACTGCCTTGGAAATGTTTATAAGAGAGGGCTTGGAGTATCATTTTAGCAAACAACATGGAACGTAGGTCAAATTTAAATGAGGCAGGTGACCGGCCGTGTTGAACTCTGGCTATGTTTCAAGACAAATGCCTGAGACCCAAAGGCCATTCTTGTATTAAGCAATGGAATGTTAATAATGTTTGCTTCGTACCAAAAATATTTTTTGTTTCTGAGCAGCATGTGACTTTTCCTTTTGCTCTATGAAGCAGCATAAGACACTTCCTTCCTTTGTCCTGTATATCCCTTCCTATGACTTTTTAGAGCAGGGGTAAGGCTCTGGGGATAACATGTTTGTGTATTCGGAGGTTACCCTGATTTTTTTTATTTATGATGACGAATCTTAGGACGGTTACCATCTCCATCTTATTTTTGCTCTGATTACATGTGTCACTGGGGTGTTTTCTCTATTTCCTCCACCTCACTCCAAATCAATTATCAGAGAATGTTTGATCTGTATTATGAAGCAATCTGACAAAGTGCAAAATCGTGCTTTTTTTTCCTTAAACCGACAAAAATATTAATAGCAAATTATTTCTTTACAAGTGCTGGGACGTTTAAAGATATGCCAGCTTTCTGTGTGGTAGTGTTAAATACTTAAGCATAAGCATTCACTTGATGGCAATTCAAGTAACATCTTCATAGCTAGAATTCTTTTGAGCCTTGTGTAATATGCTTCTGGTTCAAAAACCCAGGGTGGAAAAACAAATTGATTTGAAGAGTCTTGCAATTAATCAAATACATCAAATATGATGTTTCAATCAGCCTTGTGGGCTGGGTAGCTCATCTGTTCCTACCTAACAAGCAGTGCTGCTAAATGAGGGTTTAGGTTTGAGGGTAGATGTGGGGGCTTTTATTGTTATTTCCTGTCTCATCTATATAGAGGCAATCAACAAGCCCTATTTCCTTGAAAGTAAAAATACTGCAGAAGGGTTGGTCTTCATCTCCTTGAACGTAAAACTATGTGGAAGTGATTATGGTGCAGCATAAAAGGTTGTGCAGCTATGTCGATTAGCCGTGCCACTTCAGAGTTCAGAAAATTCTGATGATTGGCCACAAACACGAGAGGGAGAGCTGATAACTGCAGCATTGGGAACACCAGCTTTTCCTCATTAAAACGAATGTGGTTATGAATAATTCTATAATTTTGGGGTGCTAAAGCGTATTGTAAGAGCTGGACATAGAGATTGTAGTTTGACTGGAAAGAATATCCTTGTGCTGTGTCATTTAATTGACCAACAGCTGTTTCAAAAAGTAAAAGTACGTAGCGATCAGCAGGCAGCAGGAGAATTATATCAAAGGGTTCAGAATGGTCGGGATCACTGTAAACATGAGATGTAAGGTGTTTGTGGATTGTATGCTTGTCTGCTTTAATTAACTGTATTCTCTTAGTAGAAGAGGAGGGCTTGGAAGCTAATTTACAGGTGTTGCAGCAGACTTACCTTGTTGCAGATGAAGGGAAGAGGTGAAGGTGAGAGCGCCCTGCATGGTGGTAGGCAAGAGCAGAGCACCTCATTTAGTCCTAGTTTTATTCCTCTGTCCCTGTACAGGGACATATACCATGAGACTCTTCTGACAATTCATGTGGTGATTTTTGTGGCTTATATATTTTAAAAGTGAAAATTTAGTTAAGGGGAGAATATGGATCCTTTTAAAATGAAAGCACATGAATGCATACTTTCACCTGTCGCTTCTTCCAGAGCTTCATTAGTAATGCTAGCCACTCTACGGAAGATGGCTGAGAAAAAAAGATATTTTGAATTTCTTTCAGTCATGTAAGATAGAAGTAAGGATGCGTAACAGCACATGAAGTATCTTAATCTCATGTTAACATTTGATTGAATAGAAAACAGTGGGTGTTATTAGGACTTCAGTACATGGTTTTTTTCCCCAGCTTGTTCCAACTCTATAACAAAACTAAAAAAAACCAACCAACCAAAAACAAAAATGAAAAAACCCCACAAAACAAAAACAAGCAACAAAACAACAACAATCCTCCCTGCCAGAATTGTTATCACCCACCCTGATAACAGAATTGTTGTCAACTGATGTACTTACCTATGAGTGTGTTCTGCAGTACTATTTCAAATGGTGGGGAACAATGACATCGTTTTAATGGAAGGCACATTACTGACTGTGGTCTAAAACAGGTTAACGGTGATGAACTGTTGATTTCTAATAGTGTTATGTACACAAACATTGGGAAACAAAAGCAGTAGCTTTTTTGTTGTTGTTTGCGATATGAGAAGAGGCGTCTCATCCCTCTGTGATCTGCGTGTGCTCTTGCTTTCTGCCCCTAGCTGTCAGGACTTCAAGTGCTGTGCTTCCCATTGGACCCACCCTCCATTCCTTCTTTATAACGTACCTTGTTTCTTATCTGAGGTGGTTATGTAAGGTCTTTTGAAATTGCTGGCATGTTTGAAACTCTGCCAATAAATAAAATCAGCTGGTTGTCTGCTTGAACACTTAAAAGAAAACGAAATAACCGAAGTCCCCTATCCTGAGCAGTAGAATCTTGTTGGGAATTTGCATCTGTGCGAATAATTGGTTTTACTGCTTGGATTCCTGGTAGTTACGTTCCTAGGCTACTTAATCCATTCACCTTGAAACTACAGAGTGAGAATTTTGAGGGAATTGTGTTCTTTATTATAAGTTAGTTAATGTTTCATCTGTAGCAAGATCCTTTCACCTGTGAAGCCACTAGGCTTTGTATAAAACACAGTCTTGGCTGGAGTTCTCAGACTGACCTGTGTCTTCTGATGTACCACTTCTTTATAACATCATGTTAAGGCGATTGACGAATGAGTGCTTTTTTTAAAATTCAGAAAGCAAGGTGTTGTTGGGCTTAGGTTTTTATCTGTGGAGTGTTTCGTGTAATTTATGGGGAAATTAAGTGTTTCTTTCAGGTTATTTAGGGTGTCAAGATTGGTCTACGTTTATGTGGAGTTGTGATCTATAACTGCAGTTGCTTTTGCTCAGATGTGTGTAATTTTAAGTAGCTAAACAACCTAGCTTTTATGTAGGAATAAACCTTTTTGAGTACACTTACCTGGAATTTCAAGCAAGTGATTTTGTTACCATGACCACTTACTTGTATATGTTTCCAGCTGGCAAATGTCTGGAGATGGAAGGAATCTACAGATAGATGAGGAACTTGCGTGGTTGGTGTTCTGTGGCAGGATTTCTGAAGTTTAACTTAAATTGGTCATCTCACCTTTATTCTGAAGCTGCCTTGTGCTGGTCTTGCTTTAACATCTGTGATTTTAGAGCTCTTGGTGTTTAGATGAGGGGGAAAAAATACACATAAAAACACCAAACACCAGAAAGCCAAAACCACAATTGCATTATGTAATCAGTGGTAGTGCCTGTTTAGTTGACCTAGAGAAGAATAATTAGCAGATTTTTATTAGATTTGATGCGTTCCATGTCTGTAGCGCAATCGTACAACCCTGAGAGCTTGCTTTTCTTTGCAGTTTTTTCTTTTGTTTGTTTAATACTGCAAATACCTTGCAATTTCCATTTTATGGTTGGGTTGAGGATGTGGTAGTAGCCTTGGTCTTTGTAGTGCAGAAACAAATGTTGACCAAAAGTGTAAGAATTTATACTTCCTGGCTCATTTCGAATTTATTATTATATAAGTAGTTAGGGGGCTGGGTCTTGTTCCTGGATGGTCCTTATGCTATGAGCTACCAGTGCGGAGATGCAGTAGTTTTTCTTTGACTGATACATTGCTGTTGCTGAATCTCGTGTTGTGCTTTCGGAAAACATCCCATGTTTCCGAATAAGCAAGCCATATTCCTTTTTCCTATTCTTTTTTTTTTTTTTTTTTTTTATCTTAATTTCATTGTTTCCAGCTGCTGTCTTGCCAGGAAAAGAAAGCTACAGGATATATGGTTGTATGAACATATTGCAGACAAGACAATTTCTTTATTGAAGTCTAACACAAAGTCTGAGGCTCTGTCAGAGTGGCAACAACCGTTTATCCAAGATTGCCAAGTTTTACAGGAGATTGATTTATTTTGGCAGAGTATTGGAGCACATACAGAACATCTTAAAGAATTGTTTTGCATTTCTCAACTGACAGATTTATTAAACCTCATCACCTGTGCTTTATGGAAGAAGGTAGGTGCAGAGCTGAATGAATTGCAAGAGGCAGGCAGTATTTGAAAGTGGCCACAACCAGCTCAGAAGTGTTTGCGACATTAAAGTTTACTGTGTGTGAAGGTGAGCTACAAATCTAGCTACAGTGCTGTCAGTATTGTCTGTGTTTTCTGACTGCTCTCCTGCAGCACCTCTTTGTCATGCCAATCCTCTTCCATTATGCAGGGGTCACCGTTGATAGTAAACTGAGGCTCTGGGTTTGTATTTTGTTACCAAGTGCAAAATGAGAACTCTGTGCTGTAGGAGGTGTAGTTCTTCATCTGTTTTTCTTGCTGGTGGTGGCTATCAGAGATTTGATGTTGGCTTTGGGAAACTTGGCGCTGGGTATGTGCTTAAGAAGTAGGAACAGATATAAACATTGGATAGCTACTGTATTTAATGGCCAACCTACCAGCCTTGTAAATCAGTGAGCAAATTGTGCATAGGCCAAGCAGCACACCTCATGGGAAGTGGGAGTAGTTTACAAGAGCTGCAGCAGCCCAGCTGTTGGCCATTGGATCAGTCCCCTTGCCTAAAGTGTGGCAGTGCAAGGGCTGGGAGGGCTCACATTGTTACAATGTGCAACACTTGGGGATCGGCCCTCCTCTGTCTGTCTCTACCTGGTTGTTCCTTCCACTTTCTCTTTGCCTGTCCTCCATAACCTGGTGCCTGGCATTTGAGTGCTGGTGAAATCCCACTACTTGCCCCCTTCAGTCTGTTTCATTGTTGGCAATAATTTATCATTATTTGTGGCAAGGTCCTGGTGCTTAGAACTGTCTCATACATACAGTGTATCCACAGACAGACCTTGGTGAAAGAAGGCTTGAAAACTGAGATAAGAGGCAGAGTAATATTCAGCCTGCCAAAGGCACAGATGTTTTAAACAATTAAGCATTTTCAAGAGAAGAAAGGAAAAACTCTTTGGAGTTATTTAGCACTTTTTATTCACTTCAAATTATTTCTAATATTCTGTTAGCTTACTTGTGTTGAAGAATTTGTAACAAGCCTACGTATAGCAAGTCTAAGAGACACCTCTTTGAACTTAATAGAAAAAGCAATTTTTGTACAATTAGATATTGATCTGTTCTTCTCTTTGTAAATTTCCATTTAATAGTTTGTTACTGCATTTGTTAGCTTTTGGTGGCACAAAATGTAAGTAACCCCAACAGTTAAATAATCACATTCCTTGTTTTTTAGATAGTGTTCTTTGTTTTTAACCGTATTTTGTAACAAGGTGGTATCTCTTCATTTGTCTGTCTGGGTAGACATTAGGGTAGAATTACTCTGTTGCCAGTGACTTGCAGTATGATTCCTTTAATTCTGTTCTGTTTGGAGTTTGTGCTGTGTAGTTCAAAGCTTCTGCTTCAGGAAGGAGTGGAACTGAATGAACAGAATGAAGGGAGCCTTTTAAATGAATGAGTAGTAGGTGCTTGCATTTGCAGCAAACAGTATAAGCCCATGGAAGGCTCTTTTCAAAAGAAAATTTTAAGGTGAACTTAGGGTCTTTAGATCCTCAGATGTGATAACTGTTAAACAATATAGATCTTACCTTCAGGCCATGCCCATGGATTATTTGGGCAAGTATTCATGTTGTGCATTGTATCATGTGATCTTTTCCCCATACATTCTAAAGACACCATTTCAGAACAGGCATTGATTGTTATGATCTGAGGCAAATAGTGAATTTGACAGAAATGATGCACAACTTGACTTTCAAGATTTTCAAGGGTTGTGTTGTAACTCAGAATGAATAAAAGCACTTGGTATGTTTCTGGTCATAAAAATAAATGGCAAAGGCAGTTTTAAAGGAAGAAATTCGCTTCTATCATATAGATATGTGACTGAAGAGCAGCAGTTCCACGTTTCCAGCAGTTTAAGCCTGTTAACTTTAGAGTATTAAACAGCTCTTCCCTTTTTAGAGATTGAGGCAACTTCAAGTGATTGCTAACTATTGAAAACATGGAGCATGTATATTTTGGGTTTGGGAAAATAGGTAATTGAAGTAGTTTGGTCTACATGGTGTTCTCTAGATAAAAATAACATGATATTTTGACACTTGAAGGCTTCGCACTACTGGAAACCCAAAAGATGAATGCATATCCTTCATGTTAGAGCTCTCAAGTCCATGGCCCAACAAACCTTATTTACAAGCACTGTTTTTCGCCTTTGAACTTGTTCATCATCTTGATCCTCTTCCCCTTTTCCCTTTCCCTGCTTGGAACAAAGGCTGTGGGAAAACTCCTAGTTTGGAAGAATTGCACTCTCTAGCATTGAGTGGTTCTGAAAGTGTTCTGAAATTTTGTCATCTATCATTTGCTTTCTGAATAAAGAATGGTGCTGTGTTAGGTATTGCCGGCATTGTTTGGAGGGAAACGAATTCAAAAAATGAAATAGTCCTCAGTCATTTCTGCCAATACCTGTTTTTGGTACTATTTGAAGGAGCAGCAAGATCTACGTGCATCCATTACCTCCAGTTGCTTTCTTTCAGCTCTCAGGTTCCATTTTGTGCACTGTCTCTGTGGGCAGTGGAATGGCTGTTCTGTAGCTGTACAGGAGAGGAACAGACTGAGCTGGGTTTTACTTTGTGTTCCAGGTATTTGCTCCCTGGTCCCTCTTTTAGGGGATTGGAGAGTGGGGATGCAGAAAGCAAAGATGAGAAAATGTCACTGTGCCTTAAGGAATGAGTTGCAGAATTCTGCATTGTCCTCGTGATAAGCACATAAGCAAATGATTTTGAGTATGTTTTGTGGTCTTCTCTAAAAGTGGAATTAAAAATGAAATGTGTTTGAGAAGCTAAATTTTAATTTGATATCCACTTGATAGTTCTGTGCAGAACTGCTCCTGTCATTGATTTTACTTTCTGAAACACTGTTTTACAGCCTACTTAAAAATGATTTTCCTACATGTGGGAAATACTGAAGTAATTAAACACATTTGGGTTTATGCATAAATTTTCTAAAATTAACTCTCTCTTTCACACTAATCTTTCTTGTCTTTAATTGGGTTGAAATGTGTGAAAAGGAAAATGGTTTGATAGGGAACTATTTTTCAAAGAGTAGTTTAACAACTGTGCATATAAAGGAGTTGCTAGATACACTTGGGCCAGGGAGGCAAGGCCCCTTTTGTAATGGAGGGATGTATTTTTGCATCAGTTTTTGCTGCATCATTGTTAAGTAATCTTCTGCATCCTTTGCTGTTACACCTTTCACTCCAGTGGAGAAATTAAAGCGTGTTGCAGTTAGGAGCAAAATACCCTTTCACTTAAGGAATTAAAAATCCTTAATCACGAAATTGGAATTATCACTTTGCCTGTGATATGGGGACATTAGCTTGTTACTTTCTTTCTCCTTTTATTTATTATTACTTTCTCCTTTTATTTATTTTTTTTCCCCAACAGAGTTTGCTAGCTTGTTTACTAACAGCAGGACACATTAAACTTTTTTAATCTTTAAATGTAACAAGTAAGTAAACTAATGCGTGACCCACCTGGCCAAAAAATGAGAAAACATTCTGAAATGTGTTCAAAGTTAAAAATGTGTTTCTGGGAAAGATTGAAATGTGATGGAAATAGGTGTGAAAAATCTTTGGGTGTACGTCCTGCTGCAGTAAAGTTCCTATAAGGGAAAGGAATAAACAGCTGAAATATTTTGATTCTAGTGGTGACCTTCTTTTGCTTTATTTATAGCCATTTTTGACCTCTTCTTTTCTTCTCATTGAATTGTCTCTTCTTTTGAAATTCTTTTCCTGTGCTGAGGAGGAAACTAGCTTATTTCAGGTGTAAGTATATACATTCCCCTCTCTTTGATTTTGTTATTGCCCTAGGGATTTTTTTTTACTTTTAACTCTATTATCTTTGTTTTCAAGGTATGTTTACTGAGTAATTAATTTTTTTTCAGTTAACTGGAGTTTATGAAGCATATCTTGGGATCAGCACTTAGTCTTTCACGTACTGTAAGAAAATTGAGACACATGGTTATGTGTTTTGTATTCAACTTTTCACTTCTGAGTAAGTGATTAATCTTTCCTCTTGTCATGTCTTGTGTCACAGTAGCACTGTGTTTTCTCCCTCTGACAGCCTGACACTGTTTAAACATCATTCTAATTTTGCACATGAGCCAGTGTAAGAGAAGGCAAAAAAAATCAAGCCACGTGAGGTATGTCACAATAACTTATTTTCAGAAGCAGCAGGCTTATGGATGGCACTACTTGCTCTGTTCCATCCTGATTTCTGCTGACAGCAGGCTGTGGTGATAAGCACATATAAGAAAAATCAGGAGTATTTCAGACAACAGAATCATGGGTGATTACATATCTTAGTGTAAAATGAAAGGGCAAGGCTTACGAGAGGAATGGGGTGGTGCAGCCCATACATGAGCGATTTGTGGTGCTATCTGTGCCTTTTTAAGGTAATGATCTGCTCTGTGCCACATGTTTTAGGAGTTACCCTTTCCTGAATGTGCTACAGTTCTTGACAAGTCATACCTGCCAACTTCAGCAATTGAGTTTTCACCTTTAAAATTATGTACTGATATGCTCAATTTGTCCCTTTTTTTGTGTGCATGTGATTTCATCAGAAGACATTCTGAGATCATGTCTAAAAAAGGTGGAAACACTCAGTTACAGGTGTCTTTTGTGTCTTGCATATGAAATCTTTTATGAAGTGCCTCTTACTTTTTCAGTCATCTTAAGTGCAATTGTGTGGCAAATTCTTCCTCGGTGAAGTACCATTTCATGGAAAAATGGGAAAATACTGATGTTTTGTTTTCCTTTTTAGGCAAGCTGCACAAGAATATGAAAACAATCTTTGTGATGTTTCAAAACCATAACTTCAGTTTAATGTGGAACCGAGCATTGCTCTAATCTCAGACACGTGTGATCTCGCTAAGAAGGATGTCCAGCCAGTACGTGTAGTGTGTATGTAATGCTGTCCTAAAGAAAGACAGCTGCGGAAGTTTTATCTTAATTCCTGCCTCAGTCTTAATGAGAACTGAGGGAAGGAAAAAGGCAGAAAGCTTTTGGTAACCTTTTGTGTGGTAGAGTGTTAAGTGGTGTTTTGTAGATTTTTGTTTAATGCAAACAAAACTAATTTTTTTAGGTTGCAGTTGGGTTGCATGCATTTCCTAGGCAGTTTGTGGGGGCTATGAGAT